TAGGGGTGGGATTACATGTGGCTTCTGCGGGTGCACGAGACTGCCAGTCTACAGAGCCTGGATGGAGGGAGAGAGGGTGAAATCGCTTCCATTTGTCCCTGGTGTTCCTGGAAAGAGTGAGTAAAAAAACTCGAGAGTGGGCTCTAACTCCTGCACTACAGCCTGGTAAGTCAGGAAAGTCTAAGCATAGAGGAAAAGGCCAAAAATTTTAAAAAGACTTAAAAAGCCCTTTGGCCTGGAAAGGTGGTTATTCAGAACAAAGCATTTGCACGGCAGTGTTTAGGAGGACTTTGGTTATTTTTGTCTGCATTGTTGGTCAAATGAAGCTTTCCTGTCCATGTCTTGTAAGTGAGATGTTCTGAGAAYGGGTTTTGTTTGAAGAGGAAAGGACGGTTCAAAAAAATTCTGTTTGCATGCACATTTTGAAACTTAAGACAGGGAATTTTGGGATTCAGATCGAGAGACCACAGTCTCTCTATGCAAGCATTTAATTAAGCTGTTTGCTAACCAACAAGAAGTATGTTAACATTTAATAGAAAAGCGTGTCAAAAGGCTTTCCACTCCCTGCATTTTTGAAAAGACAGAAGATGTTTTGTTAGGTTGCAGGGGCTCTTTGACTAGCCACTGCTTAGCTGAGGAAGTGGCACCAGGGCTCCAGTTAGAAGTGTGCCTGTTAGAAGAATAGGTGATTCCTTATTAAAACCATTTATGTGGTGCTTCCAAGCTGTGACAATTTAAATGAGAGTTCAGAGGTATTCACAGAAGTCTTAAATCTTCTTGGAACATCGAGCAACTTCCTTCATCACATGAGGTTTTTTCATCCCATTCATCCTTGGAGTGACCCTGCAAACAAAGAGGCCTCTCCTCAGTACTTAGGAGTTGGTGCTGTTTAACTAGAGGTGGTGCTTTCAACAGTGACTGTTAGAGAACAAGTCAACTGTCTTTCCATTTTCAGGTGAATTCCTGTTTCTATGTTCTTGGCTGAGGGAGAACTCTGATTTTGAGATCAGTAGGAACTTTTGATTATTTAAGAATTATATAGTAAGACCTTTACTATTCACATTCGAGGAATGAATGTTGCAAACCTGGTGTGCAAGAAGGAAGAAGTACCCAATACCTGTATGACACATAATGCCCACCTTCTCATGAGGACCACTCCACTCCCAGCTCCAAATCCAACACACCCTGGTATACACCCTCTCTGAGCAGGATCACATCATCTCCTTTGCACACAGCTAGGTCCTGCATCATGTGCTATTCTGCTGCTCATTCCTAATTCACAGAAATTGCTAGAAGTTGGTATAGGATACAGTATTTTACAGTACCATCATAACAGAAACTGACAGTAGGCCACTGACTTTCCAGCTGATGTTTTTGGGCACAAAAGTGTTAAATACTAGTGTGCATCTGCAACCCCTTTAATCTATTTTTTTAAAAAAAGAGTGGGTAACTCATGGCAGTTCTGTTTCTCTTATGAAGGTGTAAAGCTAGCATGGCACCAAGTTTTGTGAAACTGAGTTGATCAAATATGCTTTACAGTTTAAAACATGGCAATATAGCCATTTTAATCTGAAGTGAAAGAAATGCTGTTGAACTATGATGGCCTGTCTAAGTTGAAATGACCAGATAYGGTCATGGATACCCAGTGCACATTAAGAATATTTTCTACTTATTTTTGGTACAAGAAAAAAAACAATGAACTGGACTGACTGCAGAAAACCTAGATTCAGGTTTATAACATTTTAGTGCAAATTTCATTGCAAATAATATTTCTTGCAAATTACATTGAGAATGTGGAGGAAAAATACTACTGTTTCAAAACAGGACATGAAACCACCAAAAATACRTTCAAATGCCGCTGAGAGTCTGAACTGAACCCGCAAAAGTCAGGAAATTTGGACCTAAACTTCTGTAATCCATTTGCRCTGTGTTTTGGATTTTCCTTGTCAATTATGTCCCTTGCCAGCGGTGGCTACACTAAAACCACCAGTACCAAAATGTTAACTCAGAACCCTCTTCCTCTTATGTTCCTTCCCCCATTCCTGTGTATTGGCAGTGCCACTGTAGCCTCCGTGTTGATATATTTAGCATCAATCAACTATGTGAACATGACTTTCAGGTTTAGCACTGAGTTTCTCAGCTTTTTAATTTTTTTTTTTTTTAGTGAGTCATCAAGTATAATTTTAGTATTGGATATTATCATTGTGCATTCCCAATAGGATTTCCTAAAAAAAGAAAAAGAGAGGTGGTCAGCAGCTAAGACAGTAACTAGTGAGGTTTAGCTATTACTTAGCTGTTAGGATTACCTTAACTGTCAAGATTCCTGGAAGGAAATGCAGGTAGCTACAGTTGCACTGCAGGAGTTTCCTAACAGGGAGAAATGCAGCATAGACAAATATCTCAGAAGGTACAGAAACACTGAACTTATCGAATATGTTAGAGAAATGTGCTTCTCCTCACTTTTTGTGGATAGTAGTTTGAAGAGAAAATACTTTTGAAGCTCAAGATGAAAGCAATGATTGTGCTTTGAACCATTATGGAATGAATGGCATTTTTTGTCCATTACCTTCAAAATGTGTTCTGTACACCAAGATTTTTTTTTATTATTTTTTTATTTCAATAGCAGAGAGATAAAAGTGTGCTGTTCTTTTTCTTTTCTGTTCTGCGTGTTGAATAAAGTTAAGGTGGGGGGGAAGTATGAGAAAAGGCTAGTAAGAACCAGGAAACTCAGCGGTTAGAGTTGATAGTTTAACGTCTCTTAAAAAAAAATTTAAAATTACCGTCCTGGGACAGGCAGAGACACACCGCAGCCCATAAGTGCCCGAAGCCGGCCGCTGGAGTTGATGAAGTCAGCAGTGGCGGAGGGGAGGGATCCGCGCCACAGCGCCGGTGGAGCTGCGGCGGGTTCCGCTCCGGCGACGCAGCTTTACCCCCTGCCGCCGGCAGGCGACACTGCCTCGGGCAGCCAGGGGCGAGTGGCCGGCGCGGCCATGGTTCCCGGAGCAGTGACCGTGGCTGGTTTCCAGGTCTTGRGTACAGCCTGCACAGGCGGTGCAGCTGGGCGTTTTGCTAGCCCGTGCTGAGCATGGGAATGCGTAAGTTACAAAACTCATCCCTAGGCAACAAAGGTGCTGACACGTACGGAATGCTACATCGTTCATCTTTTTGTATATTGCTATTTTGTAAAAAGGAAAATTAAACACRTGGACTAATCTAGTGGCTCGTTGATTGAGGGGAGACCTCATTGGAGTCTACAGCTTCCTTACGAGAGGAAGCAGAAGGGCAGGCACTATTCCCTTCTTGCTTGTGACCAATTATAGGATTTGAGRGAATGGCATGAAGCTGTGTCAAGGGAAGTAGAGCTTATATATTAGGAAAAAGTTCTAATCTCAGAGGGTGGGTGGGCTCCCCAGGGAAGTGATCTCAGCAGCAAGACTGACAGAGTTCAAGGAGTGTTTGGACAACACTGTCAGGCACATGGTGTGACTCTTGGTGCTGTCCTGTGCAAGGCCAGGRGTTGTTCTTGATGATCCTTGYGGGTCTCTTCCAATTCAGGATATTCCATGATTCTATGTTTCTATGTCATTGCAGATGTAGGTGGCAGCCAAGTAACATTGTTTCTTCTGCATTTGTTCTTTTTGAAGGAAATTCCAATGATTCAGAAGAAGATAGGAGTGACAGCAGTGTAGAAAATCAGGCCATTCCAAACTCTTACAGAGTGCCAGATTCCAAGCCGCATCCACCACACAACAAAATGGATATCATCAGGAAAGTGCAAGCCAAAGATACCCAGCGCTATAAAGTGGAATATGATTCACAGAGTACAGATACATTGAATTTCTCTTCTGAATCCAAACAAGAGACTGAATATGTAAGTATTTTTTTTTTTAAATAGGAAGGCATTTGCCAGCATCTGAATGTGTGTGTAGATATATATATATATATATGTGCATGTTGTGCATATGACAAGAGAAATAATTATACTAAATAGCTAAAGGTGGTAATTGTTGCAGCCTTTTTGGGCATGCTAGGAATTTAACTGGTAAATCTATTAGGTCTGCAAATGCAATCAGCAGACCAAGAAGACTGTTCAAGAAACACGTAGGACTAAGGTAATGATGTTTTTACTTCAATACAAGCATGTCTTTCACTAAAGTTTCTTAGAGGTGGAAAGTTCTTGTTCCCCCCTTGTAGTTGTCACACGTTTTGTGTGAGTGGACTTGAGACAGGTGTAATAGTGTCATTAAACTTGGTTGCAAACAGAGTAATTGAGTTCCAATAATGGAAAAAAAGATGTTTCACATTGAGTGTAGTGGCATTGTGTTCATACACTGCCTGGTTCAAATCAAGGGAGGTAAACTGAGCTGAGGATTAGGATCTTGACTAGTCAGTCACTGTATGATATGCTGAGCGCCACCTCTACTTGCAGTTGCTGTTTGTTCCTACTGCCTAAATGCAAAGTCTCATGGGCATGTGAGCTGCCATTGCTTCCTATTGACTCTGCCCAGTGAATTTGCAGGGCAGTCGGAATGTGGCGAGTCTGGGGGCAAGAATAATTCTCTTTCTGGACATCCAGCTGATAACCTGTGTCTTAGGCCAGATGGCCTGAAAAATGTGTCTATATATATATATRGTATATACTTTGGCATTTCATCAAAACAGGCATAGTGAAAGCACACATGGCTTCTCATCTTCAAAAGAATATTTTGAAACCTGTATAAGGTGCAAACTTCTTCCCAAAGAGAGTGTGGCCTCCAAGAGAAGCTTCATTTTTAGCTTGTCACTGATGTCCAGCCATCTAGTAATGCCACTTCAGTATCTGCCTTTCAATGTGTCCTCTTCCCAAAAATGAGAAGTAAAAGTGCCCACAGTAAAAGAATGAAAGTTGGTTGCTCTGAGGAAATARATTCTTAACTAGGATGAGTAGTGATAGTTGGGTCCATTAGCAAAGGTACACCAGTTTACCAAGGCTGCTGGTGTCTGTAAGAACCTGAAATAAGTCCATCAGTGACAGCTGCCTTTGTCAGCAAATGCTCTTCTAGCTATGTCTGCATGTTTGGTTTTGATACTGGTCTGGCTTTGACTTTGGAAGCTTGCTTCAAAATAAAAATTTTTAAAAAGCTGTTGATCTTTTTGTAGGCCTAATTTGAGACCTAATCTTTGAATGTGTGTCACTTGCATTCAGTGTGCTTGAGCAGTAAGAGAAGCCATTTAATGCCTGTGTTTAGACCTCATGAGATCAATACAGAAAGAAAACATGAAGTCAGCAAGGAAGACCTTTACTAACCAAAAAACTCCATTGTAATCTCCAGTACTACTATGGAGTCTTGTATGCTTTCAAACACTCACATGAAGAGTACTTTACATAAGCAAACTATTAATATTACCACTTGAAAGTATAAATGTCATTACTTCACTAATTAAAAACAGCACCAAATGAGTCGTGCTGCCAATGCAGCAACTTAAATGTTTTTAAACCATGGAACCATGCAAAGAATTTTTTTTGTGTCTCTGCTGAAGAAGTGGGCTGGTGGACCAAGTCAGTGATATACCCAGATAAGAGTGTACCTAAGCACAGAGTTTGTAGGCTGTGATTCTTGACTCCTGGTCCCACTGCAGACACTGACTGCCTTCTTGGCCTGTGGCAAAATATGAACTCCTCTGCCCCTGATTTTCTGACTGCAAAGTGAGGCTCATAATGCTTTACTCCCTACTCTGAAGGGCTGCAGTGAGAAGTAATTAGTTGCTGTTTGAGACATGCTCTTGAAAGTGCTTCTGGAAGTTCTTTTTGGCTCATTGTCCTAGAGCTAATCCTCACTACTTTGTTGTCAACCTTTTGCAGATGAAGAAAGTGAGGGAAAATGTGACATACTTCTCTAATGAGACTAATGTTGTGTCCAGCTGGTCCTTTGCATGCCTGCATCTACTTGATTCAGTTGAAATTGGAAATTGTTGTCCAAAGCTGAAGTATTTTATATTTACATTATGCCAAACCACTTTCTTTCAACTGAATCAATTTCATTTACACTTTCAAATTCAGAAGAATCACAAAAATCAAATGTCATTGTAGAAGGCCTATCTAGTAGTGTATTTCCCATGACCTACTGTCTTCTTTTCCCACTTGGTGCAAGGCTGGCTTTTCCAGACTTAAGYTGTGTGTCACTGATTTACATAGCAGTTAAGCCTTCCCAATGTGTGCCTCAGCCTAGCATAGGGCCTTCAATGTTTAGAAATCTGTTTAGCTTGAATAGAGCATAAAGTCAGAATTTTTTTTGGTGAATGGTCTGCCTTTTGACATATTCAGCCATCTCTTTGTTTTAATGGATTTGTTTGGGTTTGTGCTTTTTGTCCTTTAAAATTTATTAACTCTTCTGAGCAAGATGGAATTTGGGAATGAAGTTTCATCTGTGTTTTCTAAAACATKCTTGTTAACAGGGTCCATGTCGTAGAGAGATGGAAGACACGTTAAACCACCTAAAGATCCTGAATGTCTTGAGTCCCATGGGTTTTCATATTCCAAATTGTGACAAGAAGGGGTTCTACAAGAAAAAGCAAGTAAGTACAGAGTTTTGATAATTTCAATAAATGCATTTCACCTTTTCTGCATCTTTGTTGAAGCATCTTGCCAGCAAGGTGCATTACATATCATTTTACAGAGGAACTACTTCATTTCCAGTTTTAGTACCTGMTCTGATAGTGCTGAACCTTGTCAAATGGGGATAGTGTTTTTATTTTCTGTTGATCATGACAAYAGATTCATTTGAGAAACTTCATACCTAATCACACATGGGTTGACTGGTGTCCTAGACACTAATGCCCTTTGGTTTAAAAAAAGCAGTGCCTCTACAATAACCCACAGAGCTAATGTTGCAGGCACCATATGACTGCAATAGATCAATGCTTTGAATTGTAAATAGCTGCTTGAGAGTTCCTAGAAGAACTACACTGGATCATGTTACAAAAAGCAACTTGAGAAAGGTTTATATCTGTCCTTTATGTGCTACACAGATCGCTTCCAAAATCCAAGTCATGTTATCGTGAAAGTGATACTTCTAGTAGTTACTCTGCAGCAGGGGTGGCTTTTCAGCCCTTTCTGCTTCTGGGGTTGTGACCTTTCTTGACAAATGCCGGCCAAAACTGTGGGTATTTATGCTTTAGTTGTGTTGGATTGAGCTATAGCAGCATTCTCTATTCAACATGTCTTTGAAGCTTGTTCAGAACTTGGGGAAGTGCAAGATATGCCAGGTTCTTTGTTTAGTGTGCACATCCCATCCAATTTCAGTGTTTAGTTAGTGGCCTGTCTCCAAATATATTTCTTGGTATAATTCCAAAATTTCCTGATTTTAAAGGTTTCTTTAAGACTTTTCTCAAGATCAAATTTTGTTTGTGTACCATCATGTCTTTTCCTTTGGATTTACACAAATCAGCCTATCTCTGGTAACTAAAGGAGTGGTTGATTCTCTCTTGTTAGCTAATGCAGTTCATTGGTTAAAAGTGAGAGGCCAACCTCTGACCAGRCAACCTTATTTTAGGAATGGTATCTCCCAATTTTTTGGCTTCCAGCTTTCTTAGAAATAGTGTTTCCCTTTCTAGTATTYCCTGGATCTCTGCAATAAACTGTCAGTGTCAGCTGGGGCATTTGTAATAGGGGTGAGATTTCCAGCCTTCCTTTTTGCCATCAGTCCAGCGCTGTTTGACCTTCGGTGCATGCTGATGGACTTGTCTATCCTTCCCAGCTTTTCCTGAGCAGGTGGTGGTAACTCCCAGCAGGGGAAGTTTCTTTATTCTGCAGGGAGCTTTGGGAAGACTGTGTCAATCATGTTGTGCTATGTGCAAACTAGCAGAGAGCAATGCTTACATCTCAATCTGCTCATTTTCAGAAAATGCATTGGACTGCATTGGGCTGTGTTTTATGCCTGTGCCATAAACATATTTTCTTAGGTGCTCTAGAACAGTGCATGATTTGATGTGTTCAAGGCACTCGGTGTGCTGTAGCCCTTTTCCTTCTCTATGTATTATAGAAGATTGCAGATTGGTATTTGCTTTATTCAGTAGATCTTCCTTTCACCTCTCTTCAGACTCTGAGGTTTTTGCTTTGTCTGCAAAAATGTGGTGGTTTACAAGTAGTCTCTGGCATTGTCTGTAGTAAATTAGATCCACAGTAAGCATGTATTAAAATAGCTTACTTTAAAGGATGACTGTACTTTAGAGTGCAGTTTTTTATCACC